AGAGGAGGAAAGGGAAGAGGGGGAAGGAAGAGAGAGGAAGGAAGGAGAGAAGAGGGTGGAAAGAAGGGAGGAGGAGAGGGAAGGAGGGAAGAGAGAAAGGGAGGAAAAAGGAAGGGAGAAAGAAAGGACAGAAGGGAGGAAAGAGGGAGGGAGGAAACAAGTATTAATTAAGCACCTACTATGTGTCAGGCACTCTGCTAAGCACTTTACAAATATAATCTCATTTGATCCTCACAACCCTGGGAAATAATGACTATTATTATCCTGATTTTACAATTAAGGAAACTGAGGCAGACCACAGTTGAAACACTTGCCCAAGGTCACACAGCTATTAAATGTCTGAGGTCATTTTTGAATTTGGTTCTTCCTGACTGCAGACCTGGAGCTCTATCCCCTGCACCCCCAACCTCCCCTAAAGAGAACCCTAACTGCGTCTAGGGGATGCATGTCCAGGGGCCGCAGGGTTCCTTCCTGCAGGGTCTTGGTAGCTATTCCTGGCTCGTGCAGTGCGCCACCGCCCTTTAGGGTTCTGCCCCTTCCTGTGGGGCTTGCCTTCCTACGCCCGGGGCTCCTACTGGCCATTTCCCCCATCCCAGCCTCATTCCAGACATCAGGAAGATAGGGGTCACTGGCCATCCACAGCCATCCTGACCAGTTGGGGTGTGGGGCAGCAGTAGCCCTACCCTGAATTCAGAGAGCCAGCAGGGGCTGGGACCATGCCTCCCAAGTCTCCCGCAACTGAATATTCCCAGGGTGTAGGAAATCCTTGTTACAGCTCTGGGTACAGAACTAATCATCTCCTAAGTGGTTCTGGGTGGGGCAAGGAAGGGACCTGATGCTAGAGGCGTGTAATCCCAGAGGACTTCCTGGAGGAGTCCTGGACCCCAAAAGACCCAAAGGACAAGCTCCCAGAGCCCTCAGTTTCTGAACATCCTCATCTCTTGTCCTCTGGGCAGAGTTCCCCTTCCCCACCCTGGCGGCTACCCCACCACCCCCCAGGACCAAAACCAAGCTGGTGGCTGAAGGCAGAAACGTCACCTTCCGCTGTGGCCAGAAGATCGTTCACAAGAAAGGCAAAGTCTAGTGAGTGGTTGTGGGGTGGGGTGGGCTGGACTGGGGTCATGTGCAGATCCAGGGGGCCGTGCTGGGCTCAGGCCTACGTCTTAGGAGGTGGGTCATGTTCAGAAAACAAATGGACCCAAAGAATCAGACAGAGAGCAAGGTTCTGAGTTCTAGTCCTGCCTCTGGCCAAAGGACCGGGGCGAGGGTGGGGGGGGAATCTTGGCCAAATCCCTTCCCCTTGATGGGCCCGTTTCTTCTATAAAACGGAAATAAAGACCCTATGGCTGCTTATCTCCCCCCGCTCCCCGCCCTGCAAAAAAAAGGGGGGGGATATATAGTGAATATTAAAGGATTTTATGCTTTCATAAAGCATCTCCTAGGGAGGGTTTTTGACTTCTCTCCTCGATGGAACATAAGGTACGTTTCAAGGAGTCTGTACGCCTACTGTGCCTACTGTGGGGGCCAGCACATAGTAGGTGCTTAGGAAATGCTTGTCAGAGGCAGCATGGTTCTGAGGCTGGTCAGGAAGACCTGAGCCTTCTATCTGCCACATGGTGAACTTCACGTCCCCAGACAAGTCACTTAATGGGATTAGTTTCTGTCCAGTAATATCCTGCCCTTCACAGGAAGGGAAGAGAGCCGTCAGTTCTGGGGAAAGGGATGGGGGCGATTGCTGTCACCTCTGGGGGTTTTTCACCCAGGCTGGGCATAACTGGGGTGAGTGGGCTGAGGGCATCTACACAGGGAGCACTCTGGGGGAGGCTGGGCTGGCCTGGCTCTGAGGACTGCCCTCTCTCGCCCCCAAGCTGGTACAAGGACCGGGAACTCTTGGAATACTCGTACCCGGGTTACCTGGACCTGAACGACGGCCACATGAGCATCATCGTCAATGCTATCAATGAAGGCACCTACACGTGTGTCGTCAAGAAGAGAGATCGAATCCTCACCACCTATTCCTGGCGCATCCGGGTGAATTACTGATGGCTGGGGGCCAGACCTGCCCCTCCCTGTCCTAAAGGGGACCGAGTGTCCTGTGAGGGCCTTTGGGATGGGGCAGGGGGAGGCAGAAGCCTTCCAGCCCCTGGGCCAGAGCCCCCTGTGGACCCTGTGCCAGTGTCTGGAGGGGTCTCCTCTGCCCTCCGCTTCCTTTCCCAGCGTGGGGGGCTGAGGATTTGGAATCCAGCTGATAAAGCATTTTACCTGTGTTCAGTTTCCTGCCTCCCCTTTCTGAGGCTGAGACGGGGAGAGCCTGGGCAGTCCCTGAGGCCCGTGTCTGCTGGGCAGACATGCTGCAGGGCTAAGATTGGGAAGATGAGACAGCCGCAAACTACTGCAATCCAGCAGGCCTTGGTGTTAGGGCGTGGGGGGTGATGGAGGAGGGCTAGAGGCCGGGGATCACTGTAGGGTCACCCACAGACTGCCTCCTGCTGCTGCTGCTGCTGGAAGCCAAGGGCCCCTGAAAGACAAAGCTCCAGGGTGAAGCTGCTTCAATGTCTGGGAGGTCACGATCCCTCACCCCACCCCCTCCCCCACCTCCTGTCCCTGGCTCCCCCAGCTGGGACACTAGGACACGCCTCAGCCTCATCCCGGCCTTCGTGGGTGGGGAAGGTCAGCTCTCCCTTACGAGCAGCCCTCCCCCGACTTTCTCAACACAAGCTGGGATTTTCCCCATCGGGGGAGGGAGGGCCTTCCAGGGGAAGCCACTCCCCCAGCTCCGTCAGAGGTCAGCAGATGCAATGCCACGTGGAAGCCTTGGAGGGTGGGGGGCTCGAGGCCCTCCAGAGACTCCCAGCGCATTCTTGGTGAGCGCTGGCACTGGCCAGAGACATTCTCATCATAGCCGAGGCCTTAAGTGGGTTTTACTAAAAACATCTGGCTTTTATCAAGACTCCTGGCTTCCTGGGCGTTATTTTCCTAGGCTCCCATCTGAGGCAGGCCTCCCAAAACAAACTACCAAACCAATCTCCAGGAAGAAGGGAGAGGAGTGGTGAGGCAGGGTGGAGGGCCGTGCCCCTGGGGGAAGGGGCCAGGGTGGGCCCAGCCCATGGGAAAGGGACCCACTGCCACTATCTGGGGGGGAGTCTCTGACCAAGCAGAAGGAATAGCCTGGAGGCCTTATTTGTCTGGTAAGAGGCTCCCCAAGCCCACCAAAATGGGGTCACCATCACCTACTAGCTTCCCCAGGTCCTCTGCAGCTCTTCTGGTTGGGTGACGTTCCCCTGGGGGAAGGGAAGGAGGTGGGGCCGGAGTGTGTATGTGGTAGTGGTGGGGGGCCTATTTGCCGGCTCCAGCCCGGAGGTTCAGGCCACCCCAGCTCTGGCTGCTCCGAAGCCATTAAAGGACGACATGCCAGGTGTTTTCCTCCAAGAATATTTTACTATATTTTAAAATTTATGACAATCTCAATATACAAAAACTTCACTGTGGCTAAGTTTGCATGAATGTCCAGCTTTGTACAGAATCGGAATCAGACCAAGGCTCCCTGCCCTGCTCCCAGGGCCTGGGTCTAGTTGTTCACTTAGAAAACCGAGACGTAAGAGAGTATAAAACATGAAGGCTTCCTGCTGCCGTTTGGGCTGGGGTGGCGGGGCCCACGCTGCAGAGGGCGCTGCCTGGGGGAGGGGAGCAGGGGAAACACACAGAGCTGATGAGGGGTGGGGGCCCCAACAGGTGTTACATATGCTTCTAGGCATTGGAAAAACCATCAGCTTTGGCTCCAAATCAAAGCCACCATCCAGATGGGTCTGGGGGGCCCAAGGACCCCTGGCTTTCTCCGCAGCAGGGCTGGGTCAGTGCTGAGGGAACAAGCTGCTTGTCTGTGGGTGTCACAGTGAAGAGCAGAGACCCCCAAGGCAACCGTCCGCACCAGCGGCTCCTCCGCATTGGTCATCAGCTTTCAGAACGGCCAATCCACCCCATCGATGCACACAGCCGTGACTGACGGGAGTCAGGCAGCCTAAGGATACACCAGCTTCCCAAGGAAAGCCGGACTTTGGATTCTACAAATTTACAAGCCCAAGTAAGACAAAATGTAAAAAAAATCAAACTGAGAACAAAACACCCAAGTTCCCAGAACGAAGCTCCCGGCTCTTCTGGAAGTCCCCATCTTCTCGGCACGACGTGGCTGCGTGGTTTCCATGGTGGGTGGGCAGGCGGGGGAGAGATAACCCCAGCCCTCTGCACCCACGTGTCCAGGTGGTAGCTCACTAGGGCTTCCTTTGCTTAAAACTTGAGGCTGAAGCCCGGGCCGGCCGCAGACGCTCCCTGATTGGTGGTGGTGAGATGGAAGCCGGTGTCTTTGAGGTCATCGTCCCCCTGGGAAAAGCCAAGAAGCTGGGTGAGCGGCACAGCAGAGAGAGAGGCCAGCCCCCGGGTTGCCTGGCCGGGCGAGTGTGAGCGGGCAAAGGGCCCGTCCGGCTTCTGGCGCGGCCCACTTACCAGCTGGCTGTACCCAAGTCCTCCTTCCGGAGGGCGGGGGCTGGTACCGCGCTTAACCCTCTGCTGCTCGCTCTTGGCCGGCCATGTAGGAAACATGGATGGGTCGATGGGGAGGGGGGTTTCTCTGAAGTACTCATGCTTGAGGCCATCTTCCGCGTTGATCCTCCGGCCAGGGTAATAGGTCAAGAACCTGCAGATGAAGATGAAGAAGAGAAGAGAAGTCGGGCTCAGACACACAGGGGCGGTCTCAGGGTTGGTGGGCGATGGAACCAAATCAGGGGCCCCTGGGACCTGGCAAGAACTTAAAGCTGTATCTGAGATGGGGGGGAGGGGGAGGAAGCTCCAGCCAGGGTCAGTGCCCAGGCTGGAAACAAAGGAGATGCCTAGTGACCAGGGAATGGCCACAGGCATGCAACCCCTGCCCTGGGAGAAATGAGGCCAGTGAAGAGCCCCGAGGAGCCTGGGAGGACCTAGGGAAGGGAGTGCAACAAGCAAACCACACGCACGATGATGCGTGGTCAGCGTGGTCACTGAGCAGCAGTCACTGTACAGCTGGCCCGGGGCCCTTCCTCCCTGCCTTCGCTGTGCAGGTGGAGGACTGGGGGGGGCGGGACGCTGCCTACACTGCCTGGCCCAGCCGCCAGGCTGCCTGGTTTGGGCTGACTGCTTCCCCCAGGGAAGGGTTTATTTCCCAAGGAAGGAGGACACGAGGACAACAGGCAGCAGGCTATGGAGGACAGAGGGTGGCTGCCTCGGGGTGGGGGCGGTCCAGCTCCCCCCTCAGCCTGCCTACCCCTGCCTGGGGGCAGAGCAGACTGCCCAGACCCCGCCTCAGAAAGAGGATCCTGGGGCCACTTACTTGTTCATTAGGTCGAAGCCCTGGTCAGAGAGGAGGGCCCCAAATCTTTTCCGCAAGTTGTTATAGGGATATTCTGTAAAAGTCATCTTCTTCACTGCGGGGAGGTCATTGTAACCAGGCCAGATCTTCTCACTTGGAGTTCCCAGGTCCTGCCAAGACAAGGATTTCTCCAGGTTACCTCCGCTCCCCGGGCCAGGATGGCAGAAAGAACATCAGTTGCGAAGGCATGAGGCCCAAGCCCTGGGATAGGTTAGACGTCCAGCACGGCTCCGGCCACCGGGCCGCCTCCTCATCTACCCGCCCAGCCAGGCCGGTCTGGGTAGGGGCCTTACGCCCCTGAATCTAGTCAGTCTCTTCATTTGTTAAAAAGAGGGGGAAGAGCTGAAGGTCCAACGTCACCAGGCACTTGTGAGATGCACTGAGCCAGAGAAACAGGCCCTCCCATCACCACCGGTGCTCGCCTGGGCAGGGCAGCGAACCACCCCGAGGGTTGGTCTGGCCCGACTGAGATGATCATCACATGCACTTGGGAGGCTGGCGAGGCTGAACTCAGACACACCGCTGGCCGCTTCCACCGCTCCCTCCCCACCCCCAAAGAAGCACAGCTGTGGGAGGGCTCAGAGACCCATAAATGCATCACCTTAAACACTTTGTTGATCTGGTCGATCTCTGATTTCCCTGGAAACAGGGGCTTCTGAGTCAACAGCTCCCCGAATATACAGCCCACTGACCACATGTCGATGGCAGTGGAATACTCCTGAAAGTTCAAGAAGAGAAGTCAATGAGGAGGAAAGCAGAGTGGGAGGGCCCAAGGGAGCTCAGAAGGATGAGCAAGCGGAGAAGCGGAGCTTCTGGGACCCTGGCCACGGCCTCCTCGGGGGCCCGTGCCGCGGGGGCTAGTCAAAGGGCATGACAGTCCTTCAAAGACGGGGTAGGGCAGGTACCTTTGCTCCCAGTAGCAGCTCCGGGGCCCGGTACCACAGCGTCACCACCACCGGGGTGTAAGCTTTTAACGGGGAGCCGTACTCTCTGGCCAGCCCAAAATCACCAACCTGAAAACACAAGAGACGACAATTCGGGGCTGACCCTTCCCCACATCTCCAGTAGCATCACTGCCCCTCTCCCAACTCTGGCCTAGAGAGACCCTGTCTCATGTTTGCCTGTGGGGGTGGGAGATGCAGAAGGCTTCAGAGCAAACCGAACCAACGTAAACAAGGGGGAAAGAGGCCTTTAGAGAAGCTTACAGCCTGGCCAGAGACTTCAGATGGGAACGTGTTTCTGGACACATAGTCTTCTTGTCCCCCTGCACTAGGTCCACTGGGTTATTATTAATTTTATTTAAAAATAATGCTTATGTTAATCACAACAGCTAGTGTGTGCATAGCGCTTTAAGGGAGAGAAAGCACTTTACCAACATGATCTCACTGGACCCTCACAACTGTCCTGGAAGGTCTCAGGTGCTGGTATTATCCCTCCCATTTTACAGATGAGGAAACTGAGGCTGACAGGAATCAGGCAACAGGCCACATCTGAACTCGGATCGTCCCGACTCTCGGCCCAGCTAACGCTCACAGCCTCTTACAGCAACAAACGTTTCTCACTGCCTGGGGACAACGGCCAGGGGAGGTGCAGCCGGTGCTGCTGGCTGACAACGCTGGGGTAGGCTAGGTGCGAGGGGCCTCTGAGGACAGCTTGTCCGAGCTCTGCGTCCGCAGCACTGCGTGGCAGAGGCGGACCCCCTCCCCAGGTACCTGCCCTGATTCTAAGTCTGTGGTCCCCAGACCGCCGGGCCCTCCTACTTTTAAAATGCCTGCATGACTGAGAAGCAGGTTGGAGGTCTTCAGGTCCCGGTGGAGGATCCAGTTGTCATGAAGATGCTTCACCCCCCGCAGGAGCTGGATCATCAGCGTCTTCACCTCACCTGCAGCGGCAGCAGAGAAGCACAAAGCCTCCAGGTTACTGGAGGGGGAGCTTCTTGTCATCCATCGAGAAGCCCCTCGCCCCCCATTCTGACCTGCGTGGCCACGAGGGCACAGCTCCCAGCCCGGGGATGGCAGCCAGGGCACAGGGGGCGGGAGGAGGTACCTGGCAGGAAGGGCTGCTTCATCGTCTCCATGAGGCTCTTGAGGTCATGCTCCACGTAATTCATCACAATGTAGATCTTGTCCATGTTGCTGCCTACCACGATCTCCTTTTAAAGCAAACCCCGTGGCATTAATTGGGGAGTGGGGAAGGGAAGAGACATCTGTGTGAATCCCAGGGATTCCCATGGGCTCCTCTGCGGAAGCCTGGACCCGGGATCCGAGCGCATCAAGTCCAACCCTCTTGTCTGACAGAGGAGGAAACTGAGGCTGAGACAGTGAGGGATGTTCCCAGGGTCACACAACTAGGAACCATCCTAGGCAGGGTCTGAACCCAAGTCCTCCTGACTCTGAGTCAGGCCTCCTGTCCATTAACAGGCCTCATTAATTCAGATCCCTCTAATTCAGAATCTGGGATCGTTCTGAAGGGAGGGACAGGCTGAAGTGGACCTCTGCATTCGCTAGAGTGTAAACAGCATCAATAGTAGACGCTGGGCTGGCAGGCACCCCATGGGGATACTCACTTAATATGCAAATCACAAATTAACAATAAGGGGTCAAGTCCAGCCACCCCTGCCGTGGCCCCCCCCAGGCCCTCCCCAACAGGACTGGCGGCTCTGGAGAGGAAGGAGGGCCCTGTGGACAATCATTCATGAAGCATTTATGAAGACATCCTGGGCTGTGCATGGTACTCTGCAGAACTTCAACTGAAATGTCAAAAACGATGAGTTTTTATTTTCCCTTTTAGAAAATCAACACAGACCGATTCTACGAGCAAACCTGCTCTCCCCCACAGCAGCTCTGCAGAGCCTACGACGTGAGAGTGAGCGGGGCCATCGAGCCCCCCGGGTTCATCCTTCTGTCAGGCAAAAGGGGCGACTGAAAGCCACCTAATGCCACAGCAAAGATGAACTAACCGGAGAAGAAGCAGAGTGGCCCCCTACTTCTCCTGCATTTGTTTTAAAATATGGAAGAAAACAGGTGTAGCCACGGTTTCTGCCGGAGAGTACCACTACACAGCACTTTACATGACATTTCGGTCTTGAGGGATGGATAACAAAACTATATCTTACGATTAAAAAAAAATCAACACGTTCTGCTGGGGCCCAGCAGCTACTTCCCAACAAACACCCAAACACACGTGCTGAGTGCAGCGCCCGGGGTGTGGCAGGCCCTTAGCAAATGCTCACTGATTGACTTCCTGTCCCCAGGGATGTATGTGGGGGGAGGCAGGAGGACAGAGGCTCACCCGGACAGTGACGATGTTTGGGTGCTGAGCTTTCAGGATGGTATTGATTTCCCTGAGGGAGGTAATTGGGAAGCCTTCTTTCTCCTTTTCCATTTTCAAACGTTTCAGAGCCACAATTTCATCTGTAAAGAAAACATTTTAAAGGTGGGAACTAAGGAAGAGTCTGTGATCCCAGATGAACAAAGGGCCAGCAGGCTGTGCTGGGCATCTTTTCCCAGCGGCAGTTGAGGACGCCTGGAGTCGCAGCCTGGGCTCACCTCCTCCCTCAGCTTCAGCCCCGCACAATGGGGATGTGTGCAGGTTGCAGTGACTCACGGGAAACCCCATCTACAAAGCACTTGACAAATATTAGCTCTTGTTTTTATGGTTCTCCTTAAAGAATGCTTTTTATTTTCTTTCTAAATATGGCAGAGCAAGGTTTCAATGAACAGAAAGAAGGAAGCCTCAACGGCTTACCCCCCCCCCCACTCCCCAGCACCGAGGCCAGCGCCCTGGTCCCGTGGCTTGTAAATTGTCCACCGGGATGGCCATCCCTGATCTCAAGCTGGCCTCTCTTCAGAGGAAAACCACTACCCGTCTCCTGGGTGCAGGCCCTGAGAAAAGCGGACATACAAACAAGCTCTGAACGCTCCAGAAGCAGCAGCTTGGCCCAGCCCCCACAAAGTCCCCCACACGCTGCTGATGGCTGGAGCTGGCCCCGGGCCTTACTGCTCCCCCTCCCCATCAAGACTCTCTCTTCTCATTTAAGATGCAGCTGTCACTACCTCCTCCTCGAAGCCTTTCCTGACACCCCCCTCCCCCAACTGTTTGTGCCTTCAAGTCATTCAGTGGCCTGCCTCGGTTTCCCCATCTGTAAAATGGCAATGACAACACCTACCTCCCAGAGTGCAGAGCAAATGAGGTCACAGGTAAAGCACTCTGTCTACCTCAAAGCACCACACAAGCAAAATGCTTCCCAAACTACCCTGTATAAAAAAAAAAAATCTTGAACCTCACACAAGTAGAATGGGCATTTCCACATACACAGAGTAGCAACGGTGGACCTCTGCAATGCCCAGAGAAGGTTCCTTTACAGGAGAACCACCTTGACAGGACTCTGAAGGCCACGTCGCCTGTGCGGGAGGCCCTTGGGTGCTTCCTCCACTCTCTTCTGTGCATTTTTAGACAGACTGGCCTTCATTCTCTGACTTTCTCAAATCACCCTGTCTTTAGCTATTTAACAATGACTGAACTTATCCTTATGCCAGGTCCTAGTCTCCCCTTCCATCCTTTGTCCTTCCCATCTCAGCGCACACGGTAGGTGCTTAATAAATGCTTGCTGCTGACTGACTGAATGGTAGGGCCTGAAATGGGGATGAGCCTCCCGGCAGAAGCATTCCCTCGTCTCGCCTCCAACTGCTAAGAACTCAGCACTGAAGTGACTGTCAGCCCAGTTCGGCCTCCCTCAAATCGCCTGCCGTGAGCACACACGTGACGAAGCCGTGGACTCGCTTCTCAATCCTGGGGGAGGCTTTCACAGACAGGCTCTCACACTCAAGGCCCACAACCGCCCTGAGAAGATGGCTCCAGTGCTCCAGCGCTGGGAATCCTGTTCTGCCCAGCAGGGCACCGGGCCTAGGAAAGGCAGCAGCTGGCCAGACAAGCCAGGACGTAGGGCTTCCGACCCTGAGTCCCATTACCTCTGACACGGGCAGAATCACACAGCTTTTCATCTGACCCCTGCCCTCAGAAGGCCATCAAGACTGCCAGCTCAAGCATCTCCAATTCAATGCCCCCAGACTCAAGGTTTCTGGCTCCTCTCTCCAAGGAGCACCCCCAACTGTGCCCAGAGAAGTGGGAGACCCGAGGACAACATCCCCTGGGCAGGAGACAAACCCACCCCTCTTTGTGTGTGAACCTCCCTAAGTCCCAACACCAATCACGCCCAACTTTGTTGATGGGAGGGAAACAGACTTGCCTCAGTGGTGCAAGACCCGGGACCAAAAGGCCCACCTGGGTCAGAACCAAGGCTCCCGTCTGCCCCCAGGAACAAAACTGCTTTTTAAAACGATCTTCTCAGCCCTAAGAATGGCCTGTGGTGACACCTGCTGGCCAGACTGTCTCTCATTGGCTGCCTGGTGCTGGATGTTGGGGGCGGGGTGAGATATGACCAACGGTGAGCTGTGCACCGGGTGAGCCCCTCGACCAATCCACTGAAGAGAGTGCGGACACAGAATAATAGGAGGAGAAACACAGGGCAGCGGCCATGGCAAGAGACGCGGGGTGTGTGTGTGTGTCTGTGTGTGTGTCGCACGCACGTGTACTATGCTGGGACAGAAAGGAGGTTTTACGTTCAGCACATCTGAGGCAGTAAAGCGTGGGAATAATTAGTGATGTAAGAAAAGGGACTTCTGCTGAGAGAAGATGGGAAGATAACGAAGCGTAAAAGAATAATGCTTCTGAGAAAGGTCTAAGCAGGGCACTTTCAGGAGCTGACCAAGCAATCCGGTCTCTGGGTGCTCCCATCCACTGCACTGAGGGGCGCAGTCTGGAGTCACCCACGTGGGACCCTGGCCAAGTCACTCCCCTCATCTGGAATACTGGGGTGGGAGTGGGGGGGGGGGTGTTGAACTAGATTAGATGTGCCGAGGTCCCTCCCACTTCTAGACCCACAATCCTCGGCGTGGGCTCCTCTCCAAGGCCTGAACGTTGAGCCTTCCCCTTCCCCCCGGGGCAACCCTGCCACGAACCCACTTTCCAGTGTGCACTGACCGGTCTTTTTGTCCTTTGCTCTGTATACCACACCATACGTGCCTTCCTCGATCCTGTTCAGACACTGGAACTCTTCTACACTCCGACAACCCTAGGGAGGGAAGGGTAAGTGGTGAGAGCGGCCTCCGAGGGGGGTGGTCTCTGACCCTGGCCAGCTCCCGCCCCGCGGCTGCCCGAAAAGGCTCACTGTGCTGGGCCTGTTCCTTTGGGTGCTCAGGGCATGGCTGCTGGACAAAGGGAGCATTTTCTGCTCCCTGCCGCAGAGAACGCTAATTCACCCCGGGACTCTCAGGGATACCAGTCCCAGCTCTCTCCCAGTTAAAAGAGGAGAGCCTGGCAGGACACTGATAGGCTGAGGCACTGAGGAGGTGGTGACGCCCCTTTCCCCATCCCAAGGGCCCTGACCCCAGCATCACTGAGACCGCTACAGCACACGACGAGGTCTGCTGGGGACACAGAGAGAACAAAACCAACCAAAGGGCCCATGAACAGAGCTCCAGGGCTCCAGGGGAGGACACGGAGAGCTACGAGACGTCTCTGTCTTGTTCCTTTTCTTTTCTGTCAGAAAAGACCAGTTACTGAAAAGGCAGTTTCTTAAGGAAAACAGGAGAGCTCCATCCTGCATCCATTTCAGAGGTGACAGGACTAAAAAAAGGACGGCTGTGCAGCCCTGGAGCCTCGATCGGCGCGCCGGTGGGCAGGGCCCAAGACCCGCGCCTCCGATCTGAGCAAGCCCTGAAGCATACCCAGAGGGGGCGGCCCCCATTCTCTGGAGGAGCCACCCAGGGCAGACGGCTCGATGAGCTGTTGTCACCGACAGGTAATAAGAGGGTCGCTGGAGCCCAGGACGCACCCTAACCAGGCTCTGGCCAAGTGAAAAAGTCCATCCCTCCCCCAGCCCCTGGGAAGGAGGTGGAAAAAGGAGGAGAGCTGGAAGGAATGAGGACGGCCCCAGGGGCAGGCAGGGAGAAGGGAGGCGGCCCCCCCACCCCGGAAGGCCAGGGGGCACACTGACCTGCAGGGCTGGGAGGTATTTGGGAAGCTCCTGTTTCAGCTCTATGGGAGACAAGGCTGGGGAGTCGGGGACGTATTCGCCTTCCGTCATGGCATTGGACTGTGGCGTGCCCTCTCCCACTTCTTCTTCACCTTCCTCGCTCTCTCCCGAATCTCGGTCAAACCTCGACTCTGTAACTTTAAAAGTTAGAATCAACTCGAGCGCAAGTACCAGAGCTAAGCCTCCAGCCACAAGAAGGAGAGGAAGGCCCAATACAGAGTTAGGTGGCAAAGAGCGTCTCTGCCCCAGAGAGAGGTGGTGAGAAAGAATGCGGTCAGATCGACCCTTGCCACTTTCTGGCTGATGTTACACCAAGGGCAAATGCATTGGAATCTGCAGATCCGCAGGAAGTGCACACGTGAAGAGCCTGCCTGACATGGCCCTGCTGAGAGACCTCCCTGGTTCCACGGGAGTAGAAGCCAAAGAGTGGGAGAGAGGCCCCAGAAAAGACCCAGGCACCACGGGGGGAGACTCGTAACTCAGGGGGAGGTCTGGCGAGGGTGGAGCAGCCTGACATCCTGTCCTGAATCCCCACCCGGGCCTGGCTCTCCTCCCCCGTGCCTGCATCAGCTGGGACCTACACCATCTCCACTGGTAAGCTCCATGTGGGCAGGGCCCATGGAATGTTTCTGTAGCACAGCCCAGCACACAGGAGGAGGAAGAGGAGGAGGAGGAATAAAAATCATCATCACCACAGCTGACCTACAATAGTCTAAAGTTTGCAAAGCAGTTTATAAGCACTGTCTCACTGGTCCTCACGACCACCCAAGGAGATGGGAGTACACCAGTCACTATGCCCACTTTACGGATGAAGAAACTGAGAGTCAAGGGGTTCAGCGACTTAACCGGTGTCAGAGCCATGGGAGCGAGCCACCCTTGCCACTACATCACATTGCCTAGCTTCCTGGGGTCCTCGATACCACCTTGCTCTAATGACTTTCAAGGACCAATCAGTCTGGGCCTCCTAAGAACCTTTCTAGTTTCCAAACCAGAGGTTCTGGGAAAAAACAAGAGCAACAACATGCCAGCTCTCCCCGTGCGAGGGGCACAGTGACAAGTGAGACCTAGTCTCTTTAGGATGTGGCCAAGACTTCAGCTCAGGGACAGAGTCTTATCTCAGTTCACAAGGAGCTCCTTCCTGAGGCATCAGAGACAGGAGAAAAAAAAGACCAAATGTTTCACAGGGAAGAGTTTCTCACCAACTAAAATATGGTTTCCATTGTCTCGCTCCTCCTCTTCACTCATTTCTTCTTCACTCACCTCTTCTGCAAATCAAAACAAAGCCAGCTGCTCAGACGGACAGAGGACAGACCCGACCCAGCTAGGGCTTCTTCCCGTCTCTGAGCTTCCTTCCTGAACTAGAGCACCTCTGGGCCCCAGGCATGCCTGGTATTAAGCAGTCAATCAACAAGCATGTATTCAGTGCCTTGCATGTGCCATGCTCCATGATACACTGGAGATAAAAGGAGAAACCCCACCAGTCTGGGACCTCGAGGAACTTACGCTGTAGTGGGAGAGTCATGCACATATCTAAGTCTACAGAGAACACAGAAGATAAATACAAGCCAATGGGGGGGGGGGGGGGTACTACCGTTAGGGGATCAAGGAGAATTTCCTGTAGAACAGGGGCTCTTAACCTGGGGTCTGTGGAGAGACTTCATGGAGTCTCTGATTGTGGATGAGAAAAAAAACAAACTGCATCTTCCTTTTTTCACTCACCTCTAGCTAAAACTGAGCACTTACTCTAATCATTTAAAAACATTATTCGGAGGCTGGGGGTCCACATCACCAAAAAGGTTAAGAACCCCTGCTTTGGAAGGTGGTGCTCGGGCAGCCTCTTGAAGAAAGGAGAGAGGTCTGAATGGACCCCTGGGTGAGGAGAGCCAGCAGAAAGGTCGGGCAAAGCAGGATGGAGGGCCATGTGTGAGGAACAGAGAAAAGGACGATTTGGGGGAGCCCTAGAGCATAGGAGACTGGAAATTGGGCTGTGGAGGGCTTTACTTGATATCTGATGCTCAAGGCCATGGGGAATACTGTGTGGTCAGGTCAAATCTATGCTTAAGGAGAATCACTTTGGCAGCTGCAGAAAGCATGGACTGGACGGGAGAGACGTGAGGCAAGCTGTCTGAGAGGTGACAGCCATGGGAAAGGTGCAAGAAGCGTGACGGAAGAAGAAAGAGCAAACTCTGGCAATGGACTGGAGCTGGGGTGGGGTGAGAGAGGATGATGCTGGCTTTACACCCCAGGGAGAGTGGAGAAATGGCAGTGCTCTTGGGAGGCTCAGAGAAAGAGCAGGTCTGAGAACGACAGCGCGTTGCAGTCTGGACGAGCCGAGCCCGAGATGCCCACGGGCCAGCCGCCCGGCAATGCGGGCCTAGCTCAGGAGAGAGACTGGGGCCGAGCCCGAGGGAGCGCACGAGGTCACCAAGAGAGGCACGCAGACAGATCAGAGGGCCAGGACAGAGCCTTGGAGAGATTCGGTCAGAGACACGCCACACAGGCAGGAGGAGAACCAGGAGACGACACCAGGAAGACCCAGAGAAGAGGGAACGTGCTCGAGAACGGGGTGGTCAGCAGCACCAAACGCCACACAGGCCAAGCACGAGGACGGCGCGGGCTCGCCGGGCACTTTGCAGAGAGCAGTTTCGCTTGAATGAAGAGGTCGGAAGCCAGACTGCACAGGACTGAGGAGGGCGTGAGAGGAGAGGAAGTGGAGGCACCGAGTGTAGACAATTTTTCCCTAGGAGTTTGGTCAAGAAAGGGAGGAGCGACACAAGAAGGTAGCTCGAGGGGACAGACGGGTCTAGCAAAGGTTTCTTAAGGATGGGGGAGATACCTTCGAAGGCAGCAAGAAAGGAGCTAGCAGACAGGGAAAGACTGAAGTGTAGAGAGCGGTGGTGACCGAGAGGAAAATCTGCTGGAGAAAACGTAAGGGGGAAGGATCAAGGGGCAACGTACAGGGGGCTGGCCTGGTCCATCTTACTGGGAAGGAGGAGGAGAGAGTCGGGGGTGACGTCAGGGTTTCTGAGATAAAGAGAAAGGGAGCTCGTGTGAACGGCTTTGGCGTTCTCACTAAAGTAAGATGCGAATCCTGAGCCGAGAGGGCCGGGGAGAGGATGGTGAGGGAGACTGGAGGAGAGAAGAGGCGAGGCAGAAGAGCCTCTGCTACGACGCCGTCTCCAGAAGTCCTCCCAGCCCCGGCGTGGCGCTGGCTTCATGGGACTCGTGGGAGGGCAGGAAGCGCACAGCCCTTCCTCGGAATTCTGGGCTGCTTTAGTTTTTTGGTAGGGAAAAGTTAAGAATTCCAGGTAGCCATCTTTTTCTTTGGCCATCCTGCTCTCTGGCCTACTGCCCAAAGGAAAAGGACACAAACAGGTGGCATTACCAGCTCTGTGCTCTGGGGTCTCAAGTGTTGAGACTGAAGTCTCCAGTGAGGCGCTGTCCCCTTACCAGCAGACTGCTCAGACACTTCCTCAGAATTGCTTCCTGTCTCCTCCTCCTCTTCTTCCTCCTCTTCCTCCTCCTCCTCTTCTGATTCCTCACTGCTGCTCTCTTCCTCTTCCTCCTCAGAGCCAGACCCTGACTCTGCTGGAGAAGAAAGCAGAAAAGGAGAAGATAAATCCCTGGAGAAGCCTCGCGGCCCGCCTCACAAAGTCTGTCTAGCTGACGCTGCTCTCCGCTACCTGACGAGGACTCAGCTGAGCTGGTCTTCCTCTCACTCTCGCTGACATCTTGTAAATCAGAAAGGGGATCCCTCTCCTCCAGCTTCTCCTCTTTGACTAGGAAACAAACACAGACGGTGGCACAGGTAAGTGTGGGGGAGAAGCTTGTCAATAATTAAGACAATCTGCAAAGGCTCTGATTTACTTTTCATAAAAAGGCATTTCATTCATTCACTGCACAGGGTTTCCAGAAGATGAACTGTCAACCTTCAAGTAAAAGGAACAGCATCTCTGAACGGGGGCTGAGAAGCCCCCGAGGGGAGACTCGATGGGTCACCCGAGCAGCCGATCGAAAGTCCATCGGATGGCAGCGTAGGGCTGATCCTGACGCGGAAGCGCAGTAGCCAACCAGGCCGTGGGGAGTGAGGGTGAGCACACTTTAACTAAGAGAGATACGGAATTTGCTGAATGCCCTCCTAAATAAAGCTATCTGGTCACAAGAGCCCCCGAGAGAGAGTGTGACTCGTGACTGAAGGCCGTGGCCATCCAGGACTGACCGCCCCGAAGCGTCTGTATCCTACTCGAGAAATCGCTCTGTTTTTACAGAAATACACGGCCTGGTTCTTCACAGGAAAGACCGCCATCCCCAAGGTTAAGTACACCACCTGTCTGCTGGGGAAAAGCTCCCCCGAGACCGTCCCAACATCTCAATTGTGGTCAAAAGCCAGCAAGCGCCACGTCCTGAGAGGCACTGACCGCAGTGCCTGGCTGGCACCCAGGCAGAGGCTTACCTGGCTTCCTGCCATCCCCTTGCTCAAATCTCTCTCGCTGCTGGCGTAATGGGCTTCGACTCCAGTGACTTATTTTTACTTTGTCTCCATAGTCTTCTCGCACTGTTCTGTGATGTGCAGAAACTGGCAACCCCAGAAAAAAGAAGGCATTGACACCAGCTTGCTTCAAACCAAAGGCCCTTTCCTCAAAGATTCCTCGTGCACACAACTACAAGACGAGCTGTAATCCACTGGGGGGTGGGGTGGGGGGATGGCGCTTATGTTCCCAGGTCCCATCAGAGCTGCTGGGCTCGCATGGGGCATTTTCAATTCAGAATCACAGAATCTCAGAGTTGGAAGGGCCCTCGGCAGCTACGTAGCCCAACCGGCATCTGAAAAGGGATCTACTCTGTTACATAAGCCACAAGCGGCCACCAGCCTCGGCTAGCAGACCGCAAGGATGGGGCAACATCCATCCCGTGTGTAGACAGCTCTTTCACCCCTTTGTGGCTCCTAGCTCTGCCCTCTGGGGCCTAACAAAACAAGTCTCATCCCTCTTCCCCATGGCAGTTCTTCAAATCCTGGAAGGCGCTTGTCCTGTCATCCCCAAAGGTTTCTCAAGGCTAAACATCCACCAGTTCTTCAACTAAAGCTCACACAGAGGCCTTGCACCACGCTGGACACCTTCCTCTGAAAGCTCTCCAACTGATCCAAAAGCATAACACCTCCCAATACACCGTGTCCCCTCCCTAGCCCTCTCAACTCAACAAAAGTCTCCTTGCCTCCCAGGTGAAAGGCACTATGCTGGACAGTGGGAATACAGAGACAACAACCAAGGACAAAACAGGCCCTTCCTTTAGGGAATTCCCATTCTAACAGGGATGGGAGAACACCACACATACACAAATTAACACCGAGCAATTAGAGGAGTGTGTTATCGTGTCTATGCATCTCATCTCCCAGACAGTTCCATGAAGGCAGGGGCACTGTCCTAGCACACCTTTGGCTCATTCCCTGCCCCCCCCCCAAGCTGGGCACACAGTAATAAATGCTTGTTGACTGAATGATACCAAAGCGACAGTTGAGACCCCCAACCACGTCCATCCCAAGAAAACTAACTTCTGTCCAAGGACCATAAACAGTTTCCTTGATTTCAGGCCACCGTGTTACCAATGTTCTCCTCCCACCTATCACAAATGAGATCTGTGTGTCTGTTTCAGAACAATCCGCTATCACCGCTTAAAAAGCAAATAAGCTCCTCAAACAACACCCCTTCTCCTCTAACCACATTCATGCCCACCCCCTGCCTGCCACCCGCCCATACATAATCTCCTGGTATTGGGTTTTCCCTAAAGGTAATTCTCAAAGAAGTGGAGAAATCAACAAGGAGAAATTCCATTCTTCATCTGATTGTCACTCACAAGGATGGAAATAAGGGCCACTTTGGAGAAAAGTGGCTATTCTATGGTAGAATTTATGAGCAAGGAAGGAAGAAGAGGAGGGCTGGGCACAATCTGACAAGGAGCTTAGATTTGCAGAAAGCAGATTTCCAAAGGTTTCAAGAAAGGAGAAGGATCCCATTGATTAGAATTCTCCAGTCAAAGTTAGCACAGGGGAAGACACAAAAATAAACAATGCAGATGAGGGTGAAGAAGGGAAGTTTTCTAAAGAGAACAATGTGGAGGCACAAGAAACTATTAACTGTTAGGTTTTAAAAATTCACTCCCAGAAGATGTAGCAAGAGCAGATTACTGGGAGAGAACACAAAGGCCAGGCGCGATCTCTGAAGCACAGGGAAGCTCAGGAGGAGTTGGCAAGGGACTGTAAGGACCACGAAAAGGAATTTTTTAAAGTTACACTGGGGTGAGGAAGAGGCCCAAAGAAAGGAGAAAACCGTGGCTCAGGACATGTGGGACAATAACTGACAACAGAAAAGGCAGAGACCCAACATTTATTCCATTTTTTTTTTTTTTTTTGTAAAGGATAAAGATGTTTGGAATAGGAAAGGACAGAACAAAAATGGCAGACAGGAAGCTGATGCCCAGGATAGTCAGGAAGATCGTAAGAGGACCTAGTTGCCCTTGATGAGTTCAAGTTACTTGGCTCATATTACCTACATCTCCGAGTACTGAAAAACCTAGAAGTGATCGTGGGAACATCTTGATGCCAAAATAGGAAAGAGAAAGGCCACCGAGGTGATTTGATTCCCGGCAAAATTAAAGAACTTCTCTTTCAAAGAATAACTGACAAACCTCTCGATAAGGGCCCAGTGATTGCAAAGAGCAAGCACGGTTTCCTCAAGAACGGGTCTCGCCAGACTAATCTGACCACGACGGCCTTCTTAAAGAAGCACATTGAGGTCTGATGAGAGGGGAAACTTGCTGACGGTCAGGGCCGTCCCAAAAGGGAAGAGGCAGCCCCAGGGAGGGGCTCCCCCTCGCTAGCACTCTCCAGGCAAAGCTGGAAGACCACCTTCTTGGCACGATGTAGAGGAGATGTCTATTCAGGCACGGCTTGGCTTAGACGGCCCTAAAGTCTTTTCCAACTCCGGGATTTCTTACATGAGCAGCACACAAAAAAGTGTTACAAGTGTGTGTCGAGGCTGACCAGTTTCTCCACAACGGATCTTCCCCTTTTGTGCACATTTACTTTGACACAGAGGCCAACAGAGGCATCACATATCTGCCAAATGTCTGACAGCTTCAAGCTCAACCTTTCTGTGAACAGCACTCAACGCATTTCAGCCTGTTTAAGGGACTGAACTTTTAAAGAACCCTTTCCTGGAGTGGAACCCGCCCTAACGAGGCCCTCCCAAGCGCAGCACACAAACGAGCACTCCTTGAGGGCAGACTTTGTCCAGAGGCAGGCGCAGGCCCGAGAGGCCTGGCTGGCACCTCTGCCCCCGCGGCACAGTTCCGCAGGCCCCGTTACCTTCTCTTCTGGCCTCCCGCTCTTTGCGTCGCTCCTCGGCCCGTCTCTCTCGCTCCTTCTGTTCCCTTTGCTCCTTCTGCTGTTCCCTCATCTTCCGCTCCCGTTCTCTCTTTCGCTCCAGCTGTTCAAGACGGTCCCTGGAAACAATCAGATGCCTACTTTTTTTTTAATTCAAACAGGAAGGTTCCAGTATTTTTCAGCACTTTCATTTACAAATGATCTTTTCTCAGCTTGTTCAACCTCAACAACTTACATTAAAACAGCTGACATAAGAAAAGATCTTCTGCAGACAGACAAAGAATGCACAAAGTACTGTTCTCAGAGTCACGTCACTCGCGGAAGGAGCCCCGAATCCTTCTGCTAGAACAGGAAAACGGGAGGCTCCAGCAGCGGTTCGAGTACTATTTCTATCCAAGTTTTGCCAGACTACATCACCAATATTTCTGGAGTACATATGACAACCCAGTTTTAAAGAGAGCTCTCAAAAACAAAAATCCCATCAACTTTGCAGACAGGGGCGCCTCCTGGGAAAGTCCTGAGGAAGACAGCTCGGAGGACTGAGGGACTAAGCCTGATTTCTCCAGCAGCTGCGTCATTCGAGGCAATCCAAACCAAAGGACACCACCCAGAGTCCACCAGAGTTTAATTCACCGGTAAAGTAAATATGAGCTTGATGGATAAATTAGGTGGAAATTTGGGGGTTGCTTGGAGGAAAAACATTATTTTCCTGACTATCATGAGAGTCATCACTGTTCTCTTCTTAAAAAAATATAGGTGGTACAGTGAACAGTGCTAGACTCAGAGTCAGAAGACCTGAGTTCAAATCCTGCCTCAGACGCTAACTGGTTGTGTGACCTGGTGTGAGTCATTTAAACTCTCTCAGCCTTGGTTTCCTCATCTGCAAAATGGGGATAATGACTGCACTTACCTTCTAGGATTGTTATGAGGACCACTATGGAAGGCATTTTGCACACTATGAAACACTATATAAATGCTAGCTATTATATTATTATTGTTATTCAGTTGTAGGGTGCCAAAAGCTAAAAACTGGGAGACCACAGAGCATTATCTTCAGTGCTTCCTAATAGAATTAAAAGGTATCAATTTTGTAGGAACTATGAGTCAGCATGCTTGCTAGTATGATATAACAAAGTCTAAAAAGTACATTAAAAACCACCTGAGCCCAGCCCAGCCTGAGCAGCCCATGAGCCCATGGGAAGCAGCAGGCAGAGCAGGTGGAGACAGGACCTCAGCTCTGAGCATTCTGGCCGTGTGACCCTGGGCAAGTCACTTCACCTTTTGTTGCTATCTGTAGGAGCCTCCGAAGACTAAGCTATGCAGATGGTGCCGTTCTCCTCAGCAGAGGGGGCTCCAATCAAAGCTCAGTTTGTGTATCTCCGGAGTCTGGTTCCCCCGGCACACCAGTGGCAAATGAACAGCCAATTCTGTTGAAACTGAGACCAGCTAGCTGAAGGGAAGCTGCCTGCCGGCCCCCAGCTCCCAGGAAACCTCCGGGTGGGCTGGGCTGCCCAGAGTCTGCCAATGTGTGCATCCCTTGCCATCCCAAGCCAGCTTGGCCTGGGGCTTTCCCTCTGCCTCTCAACGTTCCCTCTAAAAGCGCAAGGGCCCAGCTCAGCAGAACCTCAGACATTTCCACCCACAGCTGACCCCAGGCCCTCCATCTGCTCTAATGACAACAGGCTCCAATTCTCTCGGCCATAGAGTCAGCTTACTGAAGAAGTGAGGAACATGCGGGAGGAGAGAGCTGCTTAAACAGGGTCAGGACAAAACTCATCCATCCCAACTCCTCTTCCTTAGCTTGGGCTCCTCTCCCCTTCTGAGGGAGTTACATCTATCAATGAGCAGACAACAACCAAACTGAAGTAGCTGCTTTGCCCCTGCAACCCCAGGGCAGGATGACGGGGCAGAGGGGATGCAGAATTCTCCTCTTGGGCCCCTCTCATCTCAGATGGTCGATCCCCCCCTTCTCCCATCCAATGCTAGCTTCTCTAGCCATACTCTGGATTCCATCCCTTCTCATATGAAGGAGGGAAAGGTCTGAGGAGGAGTAATCCAGCAGAAGGTAACTGGCAAATTGATATAACTAAGAAAAAGGAAATATGAAACAAATTGGTCAGAACGGAAGATATGAGGTAAAAGAAGTTAGTGAGAAAAGGGAAAACTAAAAGTTGTGTTACTACAGTGCCCTGGCTCAAGAGAAGAGTTTAGAAAATGCGAAGGGTAGACAACAGGTGTGGACATTTAATAAAATGTGAGACAGGATGCCAAAGACAGCCGCTAACCTGGGAGGAGAACGACTGGCCAAGAACATGGTGTCTGAGGACTGGGTCTGGATTTTTAAACCCCAGTCAGTTTAAAATATAAGAAAGCCAGGCTCTCACCCAGGGACAGTATACTCCTAGTAAAGTCTGGCAAGAATGTTGGAGCGCTGGGTCTTCTTTCCTTCTTTCCTTTTCTTTTTCTGTAATGAGGGCTAGCTCCCCAGAGAGGGGAAGAGGAAGGGACATATTTAGAGTCAATGTAAAAAGAAAAAGCAGCAACAAAATGAGATTTATCTTAAAAGGAAAAGAAGCTGATGTGGTTAGCAAGGTAAGAGGTCGTAGAAAGGCCAGGAGGGAGTGATAAAAGGGTGTAAAAGTGTTAAAAACGTTCTGAAGAAACAGTGACGGACACTCAACAGCAATCTGAAAATGAAAGCCACATGGAGAGGTTTGCAGGGGTCTGCATCAGGCAGGCCGGGTTTCTGTGTCTGCAACCTCTGTGTGACTTCTAACAAACGTCAAGCTGAACACTGGTCTCCAGGAGCACCCTGCCACAAGGCCAGGTTTATCAGAACAAGTGGGAGGGCAGCAGGGGCCAGAGGATAGAATGTGGAGAAGCATCATACCAAGGTGTGGAAGGCCTTTACGAAGGAACCCTATGAAACCTGAGGGCACTGACTCACAGGGAAGAACGCCCTACTCAAAGAGAAACACTGGGAAGTAGTCAGAGAATTAGGTTCAGACCCATCTCTTACCCCACATGCCATAACAAGCTCAAATCGGACGCCTGACCTGAATATAAAAGATCACACCACTAAACAAATGATAAGAGAATGAAGTCAGGAGCCTTTCCCATCTCTGGCTAGGAGAATTCTTAACCAAACGGGAGAAAGTGGAGCTCACAAAAGATAAGACAGATGGTTTTTATTCTATGAATAAAAAGCTTTTGAATAAACAGAAAAGCTTTTGAATGAACAAAATCAATGCAACCAGGATGAGATGGGAGACTGCTGAATGGGAAAACCCATCTTTGCACGCTATCCAAGATCCCCGGCCCATTCTCTCTTCACGTAAGCTTCTGGGCAGCTCTGCAGACCCTCAGTCAGAGGCTTCAGTGCCTGCAGCAGGACCCCCTGCCACTGCCCAGGCCCCACCTAGAGTCGCATTTATATATAGTGAGAACTGGTTCTGTGTAAAATGAAGAGCCATTCCCCAACTGGTCAAAGGACAGGAATAAAATGTCCTCAAAGGAACTGTAAACCAGTAAACTTTGGAAAGGCTGCTCCAAACCCCTAATGGGAGAAATACAAATCAAAACGACCCTGGTTTCATCTTATTCCCAGCAAATTAGCAAAGCTCAGAAAAGATGGAGTCAGAGTTGGAGGGACTGTGGGAAGATGGCCATACAAATAAGTTGTCTGCAGAGCTATGACCAAGTCCAACCATGCTGGAAACCAGTTTGGAATTATGTTTAAAAAGTAGCTAAACTGTCCACATCACTGACCAGCTATCCCACTGCTAGCAACACAGAAGTAGAAATCAAGTGGCTGTCCCCTGAGTGGGGAAGAGCAAAAGATGACAGGGCACAGGAAGGCCTGGACCATGGCTGTAGTGTACAAACAACCAAGAACAAGTCTTATGTAAAGAGCCCAGGACTACAACGGACGATCCAGATGCCAAAGGGAGAAGAGCAAGGGAGCAGTGACGGTGAGGACTCCCTTGCTCCAGGGAGCTAGGGAGCTGTTTTTCAGCCAGTCAAGAGTAAGAGTGGCCCATGGTCTTCATGGGGCATGAAGCCTCCCAGCCTCTCATGAAGACATGCCTAAGAACTACCACCACTGGCCCAAAGGACCACCCATTTCTCTTCCTTGCCCTGGGCAGTCCCAAAGGATCCTGCAGGAAAGACTAAGTACCCAAGATTACAAATGTCCTGGGCAAGTAACTCAAGACCACAGGGCAAAGTGTGTTTTCCTCACTGGTACCCACTGAAGTCAAGGATGATGTCGGAGAGGTGAACAGCAGGGAGGTAACCAGCCGGCCAAGAAGATGGTGTCTGGGGACGGGGTATGGATTTCTAAAACTTAGTAAGTTTAAAATATAAGAATGCCAGACTCTCAGGCAGGGAGAATATGCACCTATTAAAGTATGGCAAGGAGGGGGCAGCTAGGTGGCACAGTGGATAAAGCTCTGGCCTTGGAGTCAGGAGGACCTGAGTTCAAATCCGGTCTCAGACACATGACACTTACTAGCTGTGTGACCCTGGGCAAGTCACTTAACCTCAACTGCCTCACAAAAATAATAAATAAATAATAAAGTATGGCAAGAACGTACTGTTTGGTGGTCTGAAGATTCAGACAAAATCCAAAGTGAAAAGGATAGAGGAGGGAGGAAATCATTGGTATTTTTAGAAGTCAAGTATGTTCTAGAGTATGACTAAGAAAAAAAAGAGGTAGCGGCACTCAGAAGGTCACAGGTGACAAAATCCAAGGAAGTGCCAATACAAAAACCCACCGCCTCAAATATTCATACACAAACCACAAAAATGAGGACAGAGTAGGATCCCAGTGCCGTAAGGAGGTCAAACTGACCCCCATATATCACTGAGAGTTTGTGGGATGAGCCCCATGAGTGACAGGCAGTTCTGCACAGGCATGTGTGGCCCCACTAGGTGAAGATCTGAGGGGGGTCAGGGGAGGAGCATTGGACAGTAATAAAGTATGTGCATGTGAAGAAATCCAGGAATCAATAAAAGTAGGGCAGAGAGCATTTCTGTGAAGACCAGCAAAGGGAGAGACAAAAACAATTTTATCAGTGACTGTAGTTGACCGTAGACCACTAGGACAAAAAAGAGGAATTAAACAAGGAGTCTGGGA